TTGTGTAAACCTCAAGAAGATACCGGAAATCGCATCGACTCTATAAAGATGATGCTTTGTACAAAAATACCATAGAACAAATTTTTCTCTACGAAAACAATTTACATGTCTATGATTACCTCGATAATTTATTGTTTCTTTTATAATAAATATCCAGTATTGCTTTTATAAATAATATTATTTCGATTGTTTAATTATATTTCATAGAATGTTACATGTATATAAGACATCACGGCTAGGACTGGGTACTGGTAGTTGGGATGGAATGGGTAAGGGTTGGGACAGGACGCGGGTAAAGACTGAGACGGGACGAGATGCGGATAAGGGACGAAGCACATGGTTTGGGATACTGACCGTGTTTGTTAATTAAAATAAGTGATTGATTTTGTGATGAATGTAAACACTAACATACAATTTTAAAATATTGTTTTTTGTTATTTTTATCCCGCGTCTTCCCTAACGCGGCGCTCACAGTGAGTCAGTGACATGGTTAATTATATCCGTACGAAAAGTACATTAGACTAGACATATGTCTACTTTAGTTGTATGATTTTAGTTTCGATTTAGAATTTTTTAAAAATATCTATTTAAAAACATAAATCATATTTTAATGACTAACAACTTTGGAATAATAAATTATTAGCAAAAATTTATTCCCGCGCAGAGAGCGGGTACTACACTAGTATATATATATATATAGAGGACCGAAATCGTGGAAAGCAGTAACGCACCGAGGAAACAAACAAGGCTTTTGTAGTGCAAGAAGATGAATTGAGAAGACGAGGAAATAAATTATCCATCGATGTCAACATCAATATCGTCACTTCCTCTTCATCTAACCTCAGAGCTACTTTTAAAGCTGCTTGCGCAATCTATTGTGAGATCTCGTTATGTTTCAAATCTATGGTCATCAATCACCACTGATCCATATTTCACAAACACTTTCGTTACTCGAATCGGCCAAATCTTCTAATGTTCTTCAGAAAAGGGACCAGTTGTTTGTTTTCTCGATTCCGCATAACTTGAAAGAGTCTTACTCTACTAAACATGTGGATATTTACCAAATGAAATACCCTACAACATGTAGCTTCTCCTTCACTGAATCTGTCCACGGTTTGATCTGTTTTCAAAAAGAAACAAACCCTATAGTTTGGAACCCTAGCACGAGACAGATGTTAACCTTACCAAACCCCGAAAAGACTTGGAAGGGTAGACATGTGTTTTTAGGATACGATCCGATCGAAGGTAAACACAAAGTAGTGTGCCTGCCTCATAATAAAACTTGCGAAGAGTGTCGGGTTTAAACATTAGGATCAGCTAAAAAGAAATGGAGAAAGATCAAAACCAATCATAATTATTACACTTGTGCTGATAGCAATGGGAAATGCATCAATTTGAGGCCGTGGTGGCGTTTGAATGAGTTTTGATGTTAGATCTGAAAAGTTCAATGTGATAAAGTTACCACCGGATAATACAAACCGTGATAATTTTTATATTGGGGTAAGTTGATATCTTATGAGGGAAAGTTAGCTTCTGTTAGTCAAACATTGAACAAGGATTGTTTTGCACTGTGGATTTTGGAGGATGCTAAGAAACATAAATTGTCGTGTAGACGTTTTGTTGTACCGTTTTTTCGCTATGATCCGAGGTTGAGAACAAAATGGAAAATAAGTGGTGTTACTGATGCTGGTGAGTTGATTTATGTACCATCCTCGTTTCTTGGATCGTTTTATGTTTTATATTTCGATCCAAAGCGAGTTTAAAGGAACCGCGGATGACAAATTTAGGTTCAGTAATGGACTTGGAAGCAAACGTCTGCGTGGGCTCTTTACCATCCCTAACCACATCGGGAGTCTCGTTTCTTTGTAACAATAGAAACAATTTTCTTGGTGC